GGTGGCCTCCCTTGCCAAAGTGTGTCAGCCGCGGCTCAGAGGCGGCCGGGGCCTGGGCTGGCCGGGTGGCTCCGGGCCAGCCACAGGGCACAGCTGTGAAGCACGCCCCTCTGCCGCCGCCCGGCCGCCCCTTTCTTCTTCCAGGTGGAGCCGTTGGTTCAGTTGTCTGTCTGTTCATCCGACAAGCGCTCGAGGTCTCAGGCAGTGTCCGGCATCGTGCGAGGTGTGGCGAGAGAAGGCGCAGGGCCAGGCCCCGGCTCAGATCCCGGCTCTGCTTGTGGCTCCTTGTGGGAGCCACGGGCCTCAGTTTTCTGGCCTATAAAATAGGGCCAGTGGTATCTGCTGCACCGGGTTACGAGGATTGGATGGGATGAGGTTTTTGAAACCCTTCCTCAGAAGCTAGTGCATAGCAAGTGCTCAGCAAATGACGAGTATCATTAAGAGGCCCTAAAGGAGGGGCGCCTGGGTGGCTCAGTGGGTTAAGCGACTGCCTTCGGCTCAAATCATGATCCCAGGGTCCTGAGATCGAGCCCCACATCGGGCTCCTTGCTCAACGGGGAACCTGCTTCTCCCTCTGCCAGCCGCTCCCCCTGCTCGTGCTCTCTCTCTGTCAAATAAATAAAATCTTAAAAAAAAAAAGAGGCCCTAAAGGAGCCTACCTTCTTCCCTCCTCCTCTCTTTTGGTTCTTGTTGTTTTCCATTCCTCAGTTTCAGTACCAGAACCCCTGATGCTCCTGGGGTCTCTCTCTGATGTGGGGGCTCCTGCGTCATCTTCTTGGGCCTGAGGATGATCTCTGTGATGCCAGGTTTGCTTGAGCTGGAACCAGGGGGCCAGGAAGGTAGGTCGGGAATCTGGACAAGGTCTGGGGCAAGATGGGACGTGGGAGGAGCCTAGCTTCTGATAGGGGCTTTCTCATCTGAAGAGAGTAGAGTTTATAGAATCAGAATGACTTTTATTTATTTTTTAAAAGATTTTATTCATTTGAGAAAGAGAGAGATTGAGAGCATAAGTGGGGAGAGGCAGAGGAGAAGCAGACTCCCCACTGAGCAGGGCTCGATCCCAGGACCCTGAGATCATGACCTGAGCCAAAGGCGGATGCTTAACTGACTGAGCCACCTAGGCGACCCAGAAGCAAAATGACTTTTAGACCCTCAAGCTGAGAGTGTGTACTTGTACAAGAGAGTGTGTGCTTGTATAAGAGAGTGTGTGCTTGTACAAGAGTGTGTGTGCTTGTACGAGTGTGCGCGCGCTTGTACGAGTGTGTGTGCTTGTACGAGTGCGCGCTTGGATGAGTGTGTGTGCGCTTGGACAAGAGTGTTCGCTTGGACAAGTGTGTATGTGCTTGGACAAGAGTGTGTGCGCTTGTACGAGTGTGTGTGCGCTTGGACAAGAGTGTGTGCGCTTGTACGAGTGTGTGTGCTTGGACAAGAGTGTGTGTGCTTGTACGAGTGTGTGTGCTTGTACGAGTGTGTGCGCTTGGACAAGAGTGTGTGTGCTTGTATGAGTGTGTGTGCGCTTGGACAAAAGTGTGTGTGCTTGTACGAGTGTGTGCGCTTGGACAAGAGTGTGTGCTTGTACGAGTGTGTTTGGACATTAATGTGTAGATACTGTTGGTACTTCTCATCTATAATCTGGTTGTGGTGTTTATGAGGGATTTCACTTCCCCAACAACATGGGACTGTGGCATGTGTCCTTCAGGTCTGAGTCTGGTGATGTGGGAGTTGTTTAGGAAGCAGAGGGACCCCTTCACAGCTCCTAGGTCTAGCTTCCTCCGCCTTGTCGGCTGTGAGCTCCACAGGGCCCTTTCGGTCCAGTTCCACAGACTTGGACCAAGTACCTCTTCTAAACCAGGCCCTGTGCCGGGCACCAGAGGACACAGGAGCCACCGGATGGTCCATGATCTCAAAGGGAAGTTGGGGAGATAACCCCCAAAATACCATGTGTCCCCTGAGGGTAAGATAAAGCCTGGTAGGGACTCGGAAGAAGGCTGGTCAAGTCCCCTGGGGAGCCAGAAGCTTCTGCTTCAGCGTGGGTTTGCCGTCCCTGTCCCTAGGACACCCCTAAGAACAAGATGGGACTGAGGGCAAAAGCCATTTGACTCTTACTTCCGTTCTGAGGAGAGCTGGCTTTTTCCGTAACTTCAGACTCTAAGTTGAGATGATAGCAAAGACCTTTGAACGGGTCAGACTCCCGGAGTAGTCTGTTGGGGGAGGTGCCATCGAAGGGGTGGTGCGTGTGTCCGTTGAAGGCGCCCCCGAGCGTTTGTTGGGAGGCTCGAGCACGCGGGGCGCAGGGCCCGGCACGGTGAGGGCGTGGGCCGTCCGCCGGCGGACGAAGGTGGCCTGCTGCCCGCGGAGCCGGCTGGCGATCCATGCAGGCGAGACGGCTTGGTGGAGGCTGAGCTCGTGGGGGCAGGAGGCCTCCTGCAAGGGGCACATCCCACCCCACCTGCTCCTAAGTTTGGGAGCACCTTATCCAGTGTGGCTCTGGGGAGGGGAGCAAGTGTGCAGAGGGAGTTGATGAACATCCCTGCGAGCCTGGCCGGCACTTCGTGTTCCCTTCCTGACCGGTGGGAACCATAGCTTCTATCTGGTGAACTTACCGTGTGGTGGGAGGCATCCTTCGGGCGTCCCAGGCCTGCGAGTTCTGTCTTCTCTTGTGCTCCACGTGTCTCCTACGCTTGGGCAAGACTGCACGTGGGCACCCCCTTCTCATCGCCCGTCCCTGGACGTGGCCGGCCTGTGGCTTTTGCCTGATGCCTCCTGAAGTCCATGGGAACTGGAAGGTGAGGTGGGGAGCGAGTGTGGCCACAAGCAGGGAGGAATAGTGGGAGGTGTGCCGGGCTGCGTCTGCAGCCAGCTTCACCCGCATGAGTCCCGGCAGTCCCCATGGTTTGGGCGTGAGGCCCGGTGTGTGTTCCCAGCGGAACCTGGCTCCCAGGCTGCTTGACTGCTGCTTACCAGGCTTGTACCGAGTGTTAAATTTGATTAAACGCTCAGGTCCCCCTGCGTGCTGGGTGGGGGGCTGGGGGGGTCTCTCTACTTTCCTTCCTTCTCTTCTTCCCTGCACCACAGGGTTGGGCAAGGGAAGAGGGCGGCTTTTGGAAAGCAACGTTTCTGGGTGCTGTGTCCAGGTGATCATGACAGGCCTTTGTGTGGCGTGAAGGTGAGAGGCACTCCTGCCGGTGGCAGATGGACGGGGCCGGGGGGCGGGGCCAGGAATAGAGAGGGACGGGGGTCCCAGGAGAAGGCACTTGCGGCCCCACCCCAGCCTTCTGGGAGCTGTTGGGAGTGGCAGATTCAGGTTCAGGGGCTTCCTCCCCTTCCCCTCATCTCAACTTACCTCGTCACTAGTTAAGACTGTGGCCGGTCAGAGGCCTGCCGCAGGCCTCCCTGGATGTCTGTGCATCCGCGCTGGCGCCCCTCACCTGGCCTGTGCCCCTCACCTGGCCTGCACGTCTCGAAAGTCTGAAGGGCCCAATTGCCCGCTCGAATGCTTTCCAAGTGGCTATTATGTTTCCAACCCAAGGTAATTGGCTTTACCAGTTATTAATGGATTACCCTCAAGAGAAAAATGTGGAGGGGAGGGAGGTGAGGACAACCTCTCCTGGCTTTGCAGTTCGGGGCTTCCGTGTCCGGTGGCTGGGAGTCACTCGGGGCAGGACAGAGTGGCTGCTTTGGCTGCCATTCCAGTGGAGTGGTCACCGGCACTCCTGGGGGTCAGAAGGAAGCCGGGGGAGCATGTCCGAGGAGGAAATCTTGGCTTGAGGCATGGAAGCCCCAGGGTGGCTCATGTGGCCTTTTTTATCAGCCGGGCATTGAAAAACAGACACCTGCCGTGCAATTTGGATTGTCCATCAGTGGCTTGGCCAATGCCTGCCCCCATCGGCAACTGCAGGCCACCTCCACCCCCCTGCGCCCCCTCCAAAGCCCCTGGCTTCTTCAGAGCCCTCGCCACAGAACTCTGTCTGCCCGCTGACCTGCTTAGGACCAGAGAGCCACAGGTGGTGGGCAGGGCCAGGGTGGATGGGCCAACAGGTCATTTGTCTGTCTAGCCCCCTCCCCCCAGCGCCCGACCGGTAGGGACACGGCGCTTCCCCGGCCCCAGGGCTCCTGAGTGACCTGACTGCTTTCAGCTCTCCTGCTCCGGGTTAGGTGTTCCAGCTGGGATTCCAGCTGGGGTTCCCGCCGGCATCCCTCCCCACCCGGCAAGTCCTCCGCCAAGGTGTGGCCTGGCACTCAGGTCCCACGTGCGGCCTTGGGGCTCCACTGGCCTGGCTCATGGCACAGAGCTTGCCCACCGGCCTTGTGCCTCCACCTAAAAATGGGGCTGCACATGGCACGTGTTGAACTTTTTAGGGGCTTAAGAGTTACTCTGGGGAAATAGTGTCACTGTGCTCTAAACTCTGCCTGCCTGCCAACTCACTCCATGGCAGCGGCGCCCCCCGCCCCTTCGCCCTGGCCCTTCGCGTGCTCTCCTCCCGGCCTCGCGCACCAGCACCCCTGGAGTTAGTGGCCTTTGATGGTTCCCTCTGCGCAGTTCGGGGCCATTACGCCTGCCCTGGGCTTGCGGCACGTCACCTAGCTCTTAACGCCTTCAACAGTGCCCCCCAACCACCCTGACCTCCGACCAGGGTCTCTTCTTCCCAACAGCCTGTTCCCCGGGGGCCTTTTCTGCAGCCTGACAGGCCTGCCCTCCCTTGGCCTGAGGGTTGCACACGTAGAGATGGGGTTTGCTGGTGGGCAGAGACCACCAGACCTTTCTGAGTGGCGAGCTCCTCTGTCCTTACACCTGTGGGGGCCCCTGGGGTCTTGTAGACCTCCCCAGGCTTCCAGTCGTCTTCCTGCAGCTTCTCTGACGCGGCCCCCCCGCCACCCTCGTCCTGTCTCCTCCACTCTGTGATCCCCGGAGCATGAGCACTGCACTTGCAACTGTGTCGCCGTCCCCGCCACAGGTTCTGACAAGCCCGCCCTGACTCTGCTCTCCTTTTGTTTGGCAGCTCTTTTGTGACAGGGACAGCTTGTTGTGGGCACTTCTCACCCCTAAGAATCTGGGACCTCAACAGGTAAGAGATTCCTGAGCCACCGTGGCTTCCCGTGGGGGTGGGGCTGGAGCAGCCAGGGAGGCACAGCAAAGACCTTTGGGCCCACCTGCCCCGTTGGCCGCCAGGTGGTCCAGGAGGAGGCTGGGAAGCACCCGGCCCACGACCCACTGACCGCCTCCAAGACGTGCGCGCTCTCCTGGCCTCGTTAGAGTTAGCTTGAGGAAACTGTTGGAAGGAATTTGTAATAGGTAAATAATTTCACTTAGAAATTAGGATAACAACAACCATTTGGATTTGCGCTATTTTTCTCTAAGGAGTGTCTGATTATGTGGCTACATAAAACCCCAGCTATCCTCAAATAAAGATTTCGGAAGTGACCTACAGATCCATAAAAAGAATTATACAGAACAGTTAAAATACATCCAGGTTTTATTCACAATTCTCTGCCTTGGCAGGCTTGACACATTCCTGTCAGATTATCTACCATTCTGATGAGCTTTTGTTTTGTTTTTTTAGCTTTTTATTTTGAAATAATTATAGATTCGCAAGAAGTTCCAAAAATAGAACAGCAAGGTACCTGTGTAACATTAGATAATATATACGTTAATACATACTACAAATCAGAACCAGGAAATCGACATTGGTATAATCCACAGAACTTTAGATTGTCGTCATTTCTGTGTGTGTGTGTGTGTGTGTGTGTGTGTGTGTGTGTGTGTGTGGTTCTGTGCAGTTTTATCCCATGTGTAGATTCCCATCACCGTTACCACAGTTAGGATACGGAACTGTTGGAACCGTCACTTGCCCCCCTCGCAGTCACACCGTCTACCTGCCAGCCCCTCTGGCACTCCCTCTTGTCCCTAACGTCTGGCAACCACTTATGTGTTCCCCGTCTCTATAATTGCGTCAGTTTGAAAGCATTATATAAGTGGAATAATGTACGTAACCTTTTGAGATTTGCTTCCCCTCCATACCAGTAGTTGCGCTGAGAGGGCTTTACTCGAGGTTGCGCGGTAGTGGTCCCTGGTGGGGATGCACCACGGCACTCTCCCACTGAGCAGCACTCCCCCACTAAGGACATTGGGTAATTTTCAGTTTTTTGACTATTGCAGATTAAGCTGTCATGAACATTTGTATATAAGCGTTCATGTGGACCTAGGTTTTCATTTCTCTGGGATTAATGCCCCAAACTCTTTTAATATCTGTACCATTTTATAATCCAACCCTGGTGTAGGGGAGATCTAGTTCCTTCACCTCCTCAACAGCATTTGGAATGATCACTGTTTCTTATTTTAGCTATTCTCACAGGTGTGGTGTCTGGTGGCTTTAATTGGAATTTCCTTAATAGTTAATGATGATGAACATCTTTTTATGTGCTTTTTTTTGCCTTCTGTATATTCTCTTTGGTAAAATCTCTGCTCAGGTCTTTTGCCCATTTTCTAATTGAAGAGGTTGCTTTTTCACTGTGGAGTTTTGAGAGTTCTTTATATGTTCTAGATGTGAGTCCTTTGTCAGACATGAGGTTTGCCTATACCTTTAAGTCTGGAGCTTGTCTTTTTATCCTCTTGATAGGATAAAAGACCAAAGTTTTAAATTTTGATGACGTCCAAATTATTGACTTTTTCTTTTTGTGCTCTTGGCATGAAGTCTGAGAAGTCTTACCCTAGCTTCAGGCCCCCACGTTGTGGTTTGCAGTGCCGTGATTTACAGGAGCCGTGAGGTTGCGCTCTGCCCACCTGTCTCCTGCCTCAGCTGCTCTAGCATGTCTCCTCTCTCCATCTCCCCAGGAAAGTATTAGCCATATCTTTTTGTTTTCCTGAAAAATCTGTCGTATTGTCAGTATTTCCAAAAGATTTTTTTATAAAGATTTTATTTATTAGAGAGAGGGGGGCAGAGGGAGAGGGAGAAGCAGACTCCTGGCTGAGCAGGGACCACCCCGCCAATGTGGGACTCCATCCCAGGACCCTGAGATCATGACCTGAGCCGAAGGCAGATGCTCAACCTACTGAGCCCCCCAGGCGCCCCTCCAAAAGATTTTTTTTTTAAACACATGAGATGTTTTCATTAAATATGGCTTTCTTTACAACATTCTCTGGTGGTCATCCAACCAGAGGGATCGGAGACTCCCAGCTTCCCCAGATACCACATTACATCTTTGGATAGCTCTGAGAGTTCTCATGCCTGTCCTTCAGCAAGGGTTGATCTGCTTCTAGGAGCTGTGATCCTGGATAAGAAGCGAGTTGAATCATGCCTCCGAAGACAGGCCTTTAAATATCTGAAAACTTTGGTCCTGCTCCTCCAGCGTCTTTTTTTTTTTTTTTTTTTAAGATTTTATTTATTTATTTGACAGAGAAAGCAAGAGAGGGAACACAAGCAGAGGGAGCGGGAGAGGGAGAAGCAGGCTTCCGGCTGAGCAGGGAGCCCGATGCGGGGCTTGATCCCAGGACCCCAGGATCACGACCTGAGCCAAAGGCAGACGCCTGACGACTGAGCCGCCCAGGCGCCCGTGTCTTCTCTTTATCAGGCCAGAAGTCTGAGGACCTTTAATTGTTGCTCATAAACATTAGTAAAGGTGCTTTTGGCTAAAAGTAATGAGGACCTAATTCAAAGTGGCTCAGACAATAAAGGGGTTACTATTATCTTGAATGACAAGGAGTCCATCCAGGAGTTGGGTGGTTCACTGCTTCCAGGATTGATGGGTTCGGCAGCTCAGTGAAAGCTTGAGAGCCCATCTTGGCTTTCTGCTTTGCCACCTCAAAGTGGGTTTTGCCTTTACTTCCCCTCAGGCTTGTTCACAAAAGCTCTACCAACCCGTTAGGCAGTACCCAAAGGGAGGAAGGAAGAGGCCATGTCCCTGCCTGGGGTCCCTTTGTAAGATGGGGAGCCCTTTTAGAGGAGCCCCCAAGCAGACTTCTCATATTTAGTGAGCCACAAGTGTGTTCCGGTACTCACCCCAGACCAAACCGTGGCAAGGGAAATGGAAGGAGCGGTCCAGATTGACCTGGGCCTGGGGAAGAGCCTGGCTTCCCAGGCACGCACACTGGCAGTGGGGGGCGGGGGGGCGGGCACAGAATCCGCTGCTGGTCAGCAAGAAGGAAAGTGAGCAGTAGCTGGGTGGGCGACCTGTGGTGTTGGCCTCTCACTCGGTTTAGGACATTCTCACCTGAAAGCTTCTCCGGTTTATCTGGTTGCATCCCTCTTGAAGTGGGATGTTCACAGCTGAGTCATGAACACACCGGGCGTGAGCTGCTGAGTGGCAGGTGCTCTGTCATCTTCCTTATTCTAGATCTTTGGCTTTTGTTAACATAGCCGATGGTCACCTCATACCGTTGCCAGCACAGCGGAAACTTCCAAGGCTTCCTTTGTTCTGTAGCCTCCGGGATGTCGGAGTGCCTGAGTCTGTGAGGTTTGTTCCCGTGGCTTACCCTGCCAAACTCCTACCGCTGGCAACTCCTTGCTTCTGCATGGGACACAGGCCGAAGGAACCCCTCCTCTGGTGTGTGCGGGGGCGGGGGGGGGGGGCTGTGAGGGCTACAGAGGGAGCACGGGCTGCTGGTCGGACAGACTTCGGTTCTAGAACGGACTCTGCTGCTGATTAGCTCTGTGATAAGGGGGCCTCTCTGGGCCTCGGCTTCCATTATTTGTAAATGAGATTTAATTATCTCTGCTTAACAGAACTAGTATGAAGAAGGCATTATTTTGAAAAAGTGCCCATACAGTACCTGTCTCCTTCACTCCGTCCTTCCCCACCCACGGCTGCCTTCCGCATTAGGACCTTAGAGTTTGCAGAGGCTCAGCTTTTTAATTCTCCAAATACCTGTGGCCTCGTGACCACTAGAGGCGGAGTGGTTCTGCTGACCTCATGGCATAGAGAAAGCTCCTGACAGTACGTGTGGCTGCAGGCCACAGGAGAGGTGTTGCTGCTGGAAGTCCGTGTCAGTCACGTGGCTGGCCCTCGGGCCGGGCACCCTCCCTGGCCTGTGTTCAGGATGGGGAATGAGCCGGAAGGCAGGGGCTGCACCACTGTGGCCCACTCTTCTCTCTGAGGTCGAGTCATCTTGGAGGGCCTCTTGTGCCTGTGGTCTCCTCTGGGGGGGTTCCTCCTGGGCACAGATTTATGGTCAGGATGTACTTACAAGGCACCAACTCCTTGAGTAGCACTCCCTTAAGAAATCCCTAGTCGTCCTAAACCCCAAACCCTGGGTCTTTCCAGAACCTAAGAACAACCCAAATGAGAAACTGCCCTGCTCCCTTTGGGCGGCCCCGGGCAACAGGTGGTGGTGTCTCCTCTCTGGCCCTCAGACCCCCCAGGCCTCGTTGAAACATCCGTCCCGTTCCCAGGGAAGCTTGGAAGCCTGAGTGGTGCAGGGCTTGAAGGAAAGAAGGCCTGCTGGAGGCATCGGCTTCTGGTGGGAGGAAGCGGATGGACAGGGTGACTGTCTGTAGCTGTCTTTCCCAGAGAAGCCCAAGCAGATAATAAAGCCATGTAGAAAATAGGATTAAGGTAATGAACAGGCAGGACAGAGTTTGATCTTTCAATAATGCCAAAGCCTGAGTGACAGGCCAATCTGGAAGGTGGAGCAGCACCGCCGGCAGGACTTGGTGGCGGGCGCTGTGCGGGGCTGGGTGGATTCCTTGCTTTTAACCTGTCACTGCTGAAACCTGAGGAGCGCCGGGATTTTCTCTTTTATGTGTGTGCTGTAACTTGGGGGGAAGGAGTGCTGGAGGGGCAGTTTTGCTCGGAGCATCACCCCTCTGGGGCCGCCCTCAGGAGGACGGTGGGGGCTGGGACACACCTGGGGGTGTGTGGGGGCCCTGCTGGGCATGTTTTCTCCCTGCTGTCTCTCGGGGACCCGCTGTCAGGTCACTTAGGCTACTTCTCACAGTGCCCAGGGACCCCTTCAAAATCACCGTGGCTCCCTGAGCCCTTTGTTCCATCAAGACTCCTGGAGACTGTTCTCCCTCCGGGCTAGGGAGGGGGCGGTGCTGGCTGGAGGGCACAGATCAGAGGGTGGCTGTGG